AAGTGCACTGGCAGCCCAGAAAGCAAATCATATCCTGGGCTGTATCAAAAGAAGTGTGGCCAGCAGGTCGAGGGAGGTGATTCCGCCCCTCTACTCTGCTCTGGTGAGACCCCACCTAGAATACTGTGTTCAGCTGGAAGTCCTCAACATAAGAAGGACATGGAGCTACTGGAGTGAGTCCAGAGGAGGGCCACGAAGATGATGCGAGGGCTGGAGCACCTCTGCTATGAAGACTGAGAGAGTTGGGGCTGTTCAGCCTGGAGAAGAGAAGGCTCCGGGGTGATCTTATAGCAGCTTTCCAGTACATAAAGGCCTACAGGAAAGCTGGAGAGGGACTTTTTACAAGGGCGTGTAGTGATAGGACAAGGGGCAATGACTTTAAACTGAAAGAGGGGAGATTTAGATTAGATATAAGGAAGAAATTTTTTACATTGAGGGTGGTGAGGCACTGGAACAGGTTGCCCAGAGAAGTTGTGGATGCTCCATCCCTGGAAGTGTTCAAGGCCAGGTTGGATGAGGCTTTTGGCAACCTGGTGTAGTGGAGGATTTCTCTGTCCATGGCAGGGGGGTTGGAACTAGATGATCTTTAAGGTCCCTTCCAACCCTAACCATTCTATGATTCTATGAGATTCTACTTATGCCTTTTTGTAATGACATCTCTGAGCAAGAAATGCTTCTTGTCATTTTAAGACTTCACCTAACAAACGACACACAAGACAAGTGGAAATGAAGTTCTCACCACTGTTACTATACTAAGAAGGTCCAAAATCCAAGACTGACAAACTATGGAAACCATGTAAACAGAAATTTTTAAAAAATTTTTGACGCTACAGGAAGAGAGATTCAGCATATATAGTTCAATGCGAAATAACACAAACACTGCCAAGGTACAATTCTATTTGTGAAGCAGGTATGACTTTCTCAACCTCTGCTCTATACTGCTAACTCACAACATGCTGCTCATCAGACAACCTACTTGTATGCCAAGAACAGCCTTAACTCTGCCTAGGCCTGTCATGTACCAGTGCTCCTCATGCTAAGACACAACTTGTTTTACGTTGTTTCCTCTTTTCCTCTTGTAACAGATCTCACAGGACCCAAGAAGGATTAGAGAGAAAGATGCTATTTTCTCCAGTCAATTGCTATGCTTAGGCTTTCCTGCACAACATTTAATTGTTACGATGGTAGTTGTATATATTATATCAATTTACATAAAACAAAAAAACATAGCAAAAATTACTTTAGTATCAATATTATGCAGCAGGTCTGAATTTTTTTTAAATGCAGTAACTGAACATCAGAAAAGAGAAAATGTTTCCCAGTCAATGCTAGTTGGTGTTTTCATAGGAAAAAAAAAAAAACAACAAACAAAACACAACAAAAATCAACCACGCACGTGTTTTGAAAGTCAGCCTATTTTCTTTTTTGACTTATTAATTCTGGCTGAGAGGCCAAGGCTCTATTGGCAGTTACACAGAAGCACAAGAAGAGTTATTATTCCACATTCATGTATGAAATCTTGTTATATATACACAAGAAAATACTGCACCTGCAACATAATCATTGGGACTTGGCTTTTACAGTATTTACAGGTTGTCTCTCGGTATTTACAGGTCTTCTCTACGTGGTCTGGCAAATCTTTTCTCAGTATTTTTTCTTTGCAATCAGCACGAGGACAAGAGAGCTCTTCAAACTGACAATCAGTTTTCAAATGCATCTGAAAGATAAAAAAAATAAAACAGTCAAGCCAAGCAACTATCCTTTGAAGGCATCCCACACTAAATAACTTCAGAACCAAAGCAAGCAGATATTTTTTACACTACATTGTGCAAGAGCAAACGCTAACAAATCTACTCAGGAACACGTTTCTGACTTTACACTCCCTTTACCTAAAGAGTGGATTTCACTGTATTACAGAGGTACGTAAACTACTTTTATACTAAAAGCATTCTAACACACTCCAAAATTCCACACAGGCTATTTAAACAAAAAGTAAGCATTCTTTTTCAAGGCATATTATTCCACATAAACATAGATGTTGCTTTTAAGTTGTTTAAATACCTAAGCTTGCTCATTCAAAGCAAGTACCTACACATCTCACTGCAGACTGCTCTGCAGCCATATCTTCCAGTTGTTAAACTACTAGATTACTACTATGTTAGGTCTTCATGAAATGAAGCTTCAAGTTATTTTGTACAAGTCCAGAGAAGCCAAAGGCTTAACTCCACACATAAACCACCACTTACATGAGAGGATTATGACTGGTAAATAAAAATAAAAACACTGAAAAGGAATTAAAATTTCTCACATTTGTAAAGTACACATTTTTCTCGATTTTGTCCTCTCTCCAGTTCTCACTTGTTTCATGCATTTACACTTCTGAGCTTTAGTGTCACACAATCATGGGATTTTCAAGTACAATTCCTTATAGCTTATCGAAAAGTTGAGTTTCAAAACAGTGTAATTCTACTCTCACATTTATAAATCAGATTAACCTTTAGTGTGAACAAGTCAAGAAATGGACTGGAGTTTTAATTTGCAAGATTTCTTCTCATTCTTTAACTCGAAAGGAACCTTATGACTATGTTAGATTACTTACCAGTAACTGACCCAGAGACAGTTGTTCTTTACAGCCCTTGTTTTCATTTCTACAGTATATTTGAAGGGCAAGCAGTTCTCTCCTGCAACAATTGTCTTTAAATACCTGAAAAAAATAAAAAATCACTTCATTTTAGAAATTGAAAACCACTCAAGAATATGCAAGTTCAGATAAAGTAGAAGCCATGCAATTTGGCTACAGAGGTGTCATTTAATAAAATCCTGCCATTCAATTCTTCTTGAATGTGCACATCACAGTCATCCAGTATGAAGCAGCCCACTGAAAGAGAATATCTGGACAGATACTCTACTACTGTTTCACTTTTACTACAAATACAATAAAGGGAAAGGTACAAGGACCAAATTTTTTGCTATTTGCTTGCCAATGATAGGCCTGCATAAGCCAGAACTCTACACTGTTTGGGAAGCTGGTGTATTAGGCACAATATCGGAAGACAAAAAAGAGCCAGAGCACAGTGGTTCAGAGAGGAAGGATTTCATGGAAGGCATGACATCCCTTCAATGACTAGACTGGTTAATTGGAACACCTACTTGCACTTCAGTGGTAACATAAAATTAAAAACATAATCTAAGGTCTTAGAATGGAGGAGGTTTATGATTTCACAGATAAGCAGGCTTTAACCATCTTTCCATTTTAATATTTATAAGCCTTTCCAACATTTTTTGTCTATGATAGAACCACAAGAAGTTAGAAATAGAGAGCTCTGTGTTTGTATTTTTCACCTTTTATGGGTGTTACCCCATAAAAAAATAGACACTATAACTGCACTCTCAAGAAGCCCCACTGCTAAGGGCAAGAACTGGGGATGAGGACTGAAGACCATTACTACTGTTTTGAAGTCCAAAACAAAGGGACAAACACTTCTAGTTATTTTGCAACTGCCTTCATGACCAAAGAAATACCAAAGAACCAAGCCCGACCTCTGACAAATGGAGTTCTGTGACACTGCAGGGATACTGTAATTACAGAACGGTTCTGCATGCTAACAGTTATCGACAACGAAGAATTATGATCAGATCTGTCCAGGGACTAGGAATCTATCCTCAGTATCCATGAAGAAGGAAATACTGCAACCATTCTCATCCAATCTTATCTGACACAGGCCACTGATTTCTGTTTACTTTTCGGATGCATATGTGAAGCTTAATGAATCAACAAATCTCATTTCAATAATCAATTGCCAGTACGGTGGTATTTTTTCTAAAGTAATTCACAAGGTTACTGGACACAGTTTTGCTGACTGAAGTTAAGGCAAGACGTCAGTTTTTAAGTAGTTTTTCCAATATTGTCTAAAAGCTCTTCAGTGATTTTGGACATCAGCATTCCATGGGAAGAGAGGCTTCCAGTTTCATGAAAATCACTGACTTTCACAGTTAGTCTAACACGTATTTAATATACACTGACCTTCTTGTCCTCCCCTTGTTCTAGAAATATTTGAAGTTGCATAACAAATGTACATATTTATGTATATTGGGAGCTAGAAAGTCAGAGTTAAAAAGAACAAATAAAATAGACATCATGATTATTATTAGTCTGAGTTCCTGGAGAGCCCATCCATGTCAAAACTGAATTACACTGAGCACTGTTCAGAGAAGTATTTTTGTTAAGACAAGGACAGTAATGTACCCACTAACCTTTTCTTGAAAATGCTTACCGTTACAAGTATTTATTTAGGCAGGGAAGACTACTAACACAAAGAATTTACTTCACATTACATTTTTCTAAAGTGTTTAAACTGCCTAAACCATGTAGTAAATCAAAAAGAATTTTCTCCACTCTCAACCTTTCAAAGTTTTGCTGTGAAAAACAGTGAAGGGGGTATCAGTGAAATAACTTATCTGTATAAACAGAATCTGATTCTATTACAGTTACTGTAACTCCACACTGTTCTGGTTCCAGTGTGGTTCACAGAACAACACACTGTAAAAATAGATTAGTAAAACAGTAGACATTGGTCTGGAACCAAATCAGGAGTAACATTTGTCTAGATCTGTCACATCTCTGCATCTACAGGAGATTCAGTATTTCTTATCATACTCCCAGTTGATGGAAGGACAAGAGCAATGTGTTGCTGCAGTTGCCAACTATGAAAACAAGATGTGACACCTGGCTGGACCATTAGGGTGAAGCTGACATGTTGTTTTCTACCATGTGGTTAACAGTAAAAATGAGCTGTCTTCCTAAATAGAACACATGGTTTAGGTTTTATAACAAAACTATCTTCCTCAGGCAGCTTTTTAGGCTTATAAAATAATTACTACAAAGCAATAACACATCTTATGTATTACACAATTCAATCATCTTGAATAAGAAACAATTTTAACAATACCTTTTCTTTTACTATGCTTTCTTGACACGCTGTACATTTTGGACTAAAAGAACTGGAGAGAAAAGAAAACAGAAAAACTATTTTAACTCATCTGAATTTTCGTAGTACAAAAATTTCCATTTATGAGGCACTTAGTGACGATTATTCAATATATTTGAAAATCATTATAATTAGATAACATGATGTTATTTTAAAAAAAGTTGAACACTGAGTTTTCAGTGGACAGTATCTGGCATTCCCAAAGAAATAAGACCACCATAATGCCTCCAGCCAACTGCACTGTAGCTTTCTTCGAGGCAGCAAAATTAATTCCCTATTTTACGGCCTGTGCCTTATCCACAATTTTTGTTACTTCCCAATCTACCTATGCAAACAGGCAAAAATATTGTCTCTTCAATTATCCTGTCCTTTTTCAAACAACACCTAACTAAGCTTTATTTTCTCTAACAGTCAATTATAAACACTTTTTTACCCTAAAAGGATGTATGTCCATCTCTTTCAAGTCTGTTCTGGTTTTAGCAACTGTTATAGATCTTTGCTCCATCCTTTACCTGAACTATCACCCTGTAGCTGTTTTGGTAATCTACCAAGCTTGTGATCTCTTAGACAACAGGTAGGTTGAGGAGCAGAGCAGTCTGAATAGAAACCTAGGTTCCTACAGCTGTTTCTGGCTCTGACCTGCTAGGTGTTATAGTGTAAATTCCTTAATGGCTTTTTAGCTCCATTTCCCCATGTAAAATGGGGCTAATTATACTGATCTCCGTTGTAAAGCACTGAGATCTATGGATGAAAAGCACTAGGTAAAAGCTAGGTAAATTCTTTTGTAAGGCAACTCATTGACAGGCTACATAAATTGCAGCTGCTGGCAGTGGTGCAAATCAATGTAAAAGGCTGAGTAAGTTCGATTATGTTATTATCAGTATGGTTATTTCAAATCATCTCACTGGCTTCTGCTCCTTGGACCAACCATTCTGTGTCTCCTATTTCCAAGCATCTTAACTACCTTGCAGCTTCAGTATCTGTAATATTTTCCATAAGTAAAAAAAATAAATAAAAAAATAAGGGAAACTAATCTACTTGAGGGCGTATAGTGTTTAATACAATGTCATACTTTCCTCGCTCTTCCTGAATTCACTCAAGCATCCCACTTGCTCTTTTAAACTACTACTGCATACTGAGCAGACATGTTTATTGCGTTATCTACACTGACTCCCAATTCTTTGTCCTCAAATAACCCTGGAACAGAAGCTGCAAGCATGTAATCAGTGTGTGTGCAGCAGCATATCAACACTGAATGAAAAGTTTTTGTGCCAAATACAGAAACAAGGTAAACTTATTTTGCTTCCAGTTTTCTGGTATGCTATTTAAAAAAAAAAAAGCTGTCAATTTAATTTTAATAAAGGATTTGTTTGCAACAAGCACTTAAATATAGTGACATAACTCAAATGAGAAAGCGATGCAGTAGATGGTCTTACCCATGTGTCCTTTTCAATATCAGACTGGTTGGAAAGTCAGTAAGGTAAAATTACACATATTCTAGCTACACTAATAAGCACATGTGCATGTCTCACAGCAGGGAAGGAAAATTGCCCAGATTCCAGCAATGCCAGCCAGAATTGTTACTGCTTAGATTGTTAAGGATCTGCTCTGTCCATCTGCACACATCCAATCATGGCAGGTGTTTACTTTTCTGTAGTCACTGTTATTAACCATGCACGAGTCTTCCAAAAACATATATTCAGAAAGAAATAACTGCATTTCTTAAATACAAACTATACTTCACTTGAAAATGTGTATTGAAAGAAAAGTTGGTGGGGCTTTTTTAGTTTTGTTTTAAATTTGGCATGCTGTAGCACAAAACCTACAGGAGTGCATTAGTGAGCTATGGACCTTTGTATTTGCCCACCTCAGAGGTTACTCGTTATCACGAAACAGAGTAATGTAATATCTTCCAATCTCTTCTGCCATGCTGCATGTAGCCTTGATTTATATCTACCTGAGATTATGGTATTTCCAAGTGAAATACAAACTAATACCTAGAGCCAGAATGTTCACAAAAAGTAAACAGGAGATCACCAAGATCTTCCAATGTCAAATCCTCTCTCTGATAGTAGTCCGGTGTGCAATGTCCAGTGAGCTCAACCTCTTCTGTACCTCTCCTTTCCCAGAAAAAATGCAAGTTTTGATTGCTTTTTTACCCCAGGAGATTAAAGCTTGCAGAATGGTCTCCAAACACTAGACCAAGATTTGAAATCACACTGCTGAATACAATCAGTAGCAATGCATCAAAGTGGAAAGGCAAAGAAATACACTCCTACGGATGCACAGATATTTCTTAAAAGCTAGATACTCCTTGAACAATCACACTTTTATTTTTACCTAGAGTGGGAAAGATTGCATCTCTCAGCATTCATTTTATGTCTATAACATTCACTCACCCACTTTGCGCTCTGGCCCAAACATTTCAGTAATTAAGAAACCAACCTTCCTGACCCTCCAGGAATCCACAAAACACAAAAGCTCCAGGACACACAGCTAGAAGGGTTACGGGGAAAGGAAGCTCCACAAGCAGTTACATTTATCCAAGGGTCCCACCACTCAACTGTGAAACTGGGTCCACAGCTCACTTAGGTACTATCACTCTAAGGAGCCTCTGCAGGCTTACTTCCTCACACGGCCATGATTTACTGAGTGTATTTTACACTAAAATAGCCATGTTAGCAGTCACGTGAAACATCTACTCAGTCCCAGGCTCCACAGGCAATGAGATTCTTACCTAACACATCACTACATGGGATTAAACCACTTAAACACCGTTTCAACAATACTGATAGAAAGCTTAGTTGTCTCATCCTGACCCAGAGTAGAACACAAATGTTTGCACCAGGATATGGATAACAAATAAGCAAGCAAGCAACATGCAGAAGGCTGCTTCAAGCCAGGGCATTAGCTTAATGTATTCCTAAAACTGCAACGGTGTCCACGTTTGTCGGGGAAGTTTCCTGGCTGCTACATGGGAAGCATCTGTGCCTTGTCGAGACAGGTGCTGCGAGTCATGTTGGCCAGCCGGAGACCACGTGACCTATGGGAGGCTTAAAGGCGGGGCACTCCCCTCGAGGAGGGTGGCATTTCCCTCCTGGGTACTGGAGTGGTAGGAGCCCCTGGAGAGTGGTGTATTGGAGCTCTCGGTTGAATAGCCTTCTGATTGAGAGAGCAGTGAGTTGAGGCTCTCTGTTGGATAGCCTTCGATTGGGTCCATTGGGATTGAGACCCTTAAGAGTTGAGATAAAGCCTTCTGATATACGAGGGGAATCACAACGGCCTTTTGGGCCAGTGGTCTGCGACACACGTTATTTTCAGCAGTCCACAAAATTCAAAGGTATCAACATGTTCTATCACAACAAAAAACTCACCTTAGCAAGGCATTCATGCAGGTCTCACAGAATCTGTGTCCACATTCAGTCTGTTTAGGATTGCATAAGATGAGGTGACATTTTTCACATTTATACTTATCTTCCACGGCATTTACAAACTTCTCTTTGTAGCCACCTTGCTCTGGAACATAAATCGATGCTGAAGGACTGCGATCAGGATTGGCCCTTTGTTGTACCATTTCTACAGATAAAGGGGGTTCTGTCTTCTTACTGGTGTCCATGCTCTACGATATTTTCTGTGAAGCAAAAATGAGAAAACTTCTAGAAATGAAGACCTCTTTTTCCACTTAAACAAATACAGCATCTTTGAGAGACTATATAAAACCAGAAAGCACTAAGAACAGATGCATGTCCAAGTATCATGTAAACATAACACATACATAATTGCGTAAGTATATTAAGCATAGTGTATCTGTAAAATACTCTAGATCTTTCAAAGGCTAAGAAGGTCAAGAATTAAAACCTACTCCTGAAAGTGAAGTGTTAGTTAATTAATTGTGGGCATCGCTCTAGGAACATAGAAGAACAGAGCTTGCATTCTTCCATTTCTTTCTTTGTCTCTCTGGAAAACATCTTTAATATTGAAGTTATATCACTAGAGGAAGCAGCAAGGGCTGTGGTGAAGAACATGCACTCATACAGTACCATGCACAATGCTACTCAGATGCTAATGTAAAAAGCACACAACCACCAGTGTCCTATACAGGGTATTCAGAGTCTACACAGCTCCACTGCCTACTTCGCCTGTCCATCCTATGCAACAGTGAAGTGTAAGACACACTGCTTTAAGTCTGTTTTAGAACAAAACAACAGGTTTTACTTATTACACACTTTCCAATCTTTTCATCATACATCCCCACATGAAAAGAGAAGGTGATACAAGTCTAATTGACAGAGGATTAAGGCTTACACAGCACGGCCACTTGATTAATTCACCAGGACTACGCACCACTGACAGACAGCTGAGAAAATAATTAATGGAGTTGAAGACTGTATTACAGTACCTATTATCCTGGACTGTGATTCTTCTAGGTCAGCATGCAAAGCATTAGCAGAGCAAGAGAGGAAGAATACCTCTAGTTAAATTTTAAAACCTGTTTTCAATGATTTCCTTGCTTAGCTTATAGTCAAACAAGTGTAAGTGGTCTTAAAAAAAACGCAGCACATGAAGGAGAAAGCACAGCTGGAGGATACACCGCCTATCTACGTAAGAGAAATGCCTGGCTATTTACAAGAGAAAGGTGTACTTCAGTTCTCCCTCCAAGTTAACCCACACTTAAAACACAAACCTATTCCATTGCTCTATGGTTGCCTCAACTGCTACGGTTACAATTCAACTTTAAGAAGCAGAGTGAAGAAATGAGGCCCAGTTCACTTCTCAGTTATCATACCACAAAGGGAGTCAAATGCCTCACATCCCAAATAACGCAAACCTTCTGGTACACAGTTTTTGTGATCTCTTATCTTCCTTCGCTAAGCCCAAAACAAGTACTTTTCATTAAATGCATATTTTTGTAGATCATTTCTTCATCTATACTTTTGGTACAGAATCCTCTATGGAGACTAAACAGACAAGGAATTTCTTTCATTTCTGATGCCAACTGTTATTTCTAGAAACACAAACCAATATCATTACGACTCATCACTGATACCATTTCATGTCTTTACCAATGTCAGCTGAGCAAGGTTAGGGGTGCTGAGTGAAGAATCCCCCCTTCCCTGCCTCCTCGTCCCAGCGGAAAGCCCCTCCGTATCTCCATTAAACACAGAGAGACACCAAGGAAACCATCCTCATAACTCTGTACATAGATCCGATGATTTGGTCTTATTCAAAAGCTCAAACCCCCCCAAAAAATACACACCAACAAAAAAAAGAAAACACCAAATGAAACAGTTTCTACAGTAACTGAAAGGGAAATATAAATTCTGGTCCATAATTTGAATTAATGTCTGGCTGTTCCTTGTCTACTCTTCAAAGACTGCAGAGTCTAATACCTTGGCAGAACAATATCTGAAAAAAAAAAACCCACCCAGAAAAATCACTGCTGAACTGAAAGTAACTTGCACTTCTCATTAATGAGGAAATTCAGATTATTTCAGACCAGGAAAGTAAGCAAAGCTTGAACTAGTGTTTCAGCAGTAAGTATTAAAAAAAAAAAAAACAAAGGAAAAAAAAAAAAACACAAAACAGATAATGATGATATTGAAGAGGTAATTCAAGAGATTGTAACCAGCACAGAAGAAATGAGATGTGATGCTGAGAACAAGAGTCAGAGGCAAGGAGGTTAAAAGAAACACGAGTGAGAAAGGAAAGCAGATGATGAAAGTAGTCTAGCTTTAGAGATTGCCCAAGGCACGACTGCCATTGCTGAACATCTGTGGCTGGACAGGGGGAACCCAGTTTGGGGTTTTTTTTCCAACCATATTCAAGACATCTACCATTCCGTCAATTCTTGAAGTCAAAAGCCAACTTCAAGCATGCTGACTGGTAAGAACAACACAGGGAACATGATTTTCCTTAAAATGCCAGAATAAAACAAGGCGTGGCCTGATTCTGACCCGCAGAAGAAATTCTGAAAAAGAGGCGCTAAAAGAGATGCTGACAGGAGAACTGGCAAGTCAAGAGAGCACAAAATTCTTGAGTTTATAAGTCATCCAACATAACTACTGAACGTCTGTTTTGCCATAAAGTTTCTTCCAAATAAAAAGAAGTTAAAGATTATTAGAGATGTTAAGTCTTCCAATAGCACCATTCCTTCATGGCAACTGAGTAATTAGTCACAAGGAGGCAGGCAGGGGTGAGAAGGAGAATATTCAAGATTTAACTGAGAAAGAGTAACAAATGCCAAATGAGCAGCAGGTGAGAGTTTCACAGAGATACGAAACTGCTCAGGGACTGGACTGTCAGCTGTCAAGAGAGATTTCGTATCAAAATGAACTGCACAGGGCTCCACAGGACTCCACTTCTGGAATTGACATATTGGATATCCTCACAGGAAACAACCAGAAAGCACACTGATAAATGAAATTTACTATGAGATATGCCTAATGGCCAGATTTGTGTGCCTCAGGTTTCATATTCCTGTTTCATGAAGAAGTACATCAGACCAGAAAACCCAAACAAGCGCAGCATGAGAGTAGCCACCTTGGCGAAGAGCTCTCTTCCACACTATTCTGAACTGCCAGCGTCTTCTTATGTAGCAAAACTAGGAAGCCACTCATCAAGTACTGCAATAAAATACAACAGAGAATCGAGCTTAAAAGAAACACCTAGGCCTCCTCATTACAGTGAGAGCTGCACTTAACAAGGGGTTGGGGAGACATGATGTCTATCAAACTGCACAAAGAAATCTGTACGCACAGAGCTGTCCTCATGCGTGCAAGTTACACGCTCTTACACCGGCGTATGGGACCAGTGGTGAACACAAGTGCAGATAATGCAAACGTTTCAGCTGCCACCCTTTTGCAAACAGCTTTCTATTAAGGTTTACATACCACTACAGGGTGACATCTGCAATGTCGTCTTCTCCTTTTCAGGAGCTTTTAACAGCAGGACTCAGATTATATCCCCATCATCATGTTTCAAACTGCCAACAAGAAGCAATTTTGAAGTCACACCTCAGTAAAATACTGAGGTATCTTCATCTGATAGCAGTGAAAATAATACACTTCCAGAAAGCAAGAACAGGAGTCTGGCTAGAACATTCAAGATAGGCCAGTTCTGGTGGGGACCTCTGATTCCTGAAGGCATGGCAAGCTGCCACCAAGTCACAGACTCTGGTCCTTGTTCAGCAAGCTAAATCTTAACTCCTAATTCAACACTAGCTATTTCTTGAGCTCCAGTTTCTTATCCCTGGAAAAAATCATCAAAATAAAAGAACAACAGCTTTAAAAGACATCTAAAAATTATAAATCTCAGATAATCACCTTTCAGGACAGGTAAACACAAAGAGAAGCACAGTCACCAAGGTCGGTTCTGTCCACTGTTGATGACATTCTTTCAGCCACCTCTCCTGCAGCCAGCATATACTTCTATTCATGCTTCTGCAGAGTACCAGAAGGAGTGATTGCTCTGGTCATCGGATGGGTGACACTGCTTGCTCCATCCTGCCAGGTCTCACTGAGCTCCATTTTTGTCTCTACTCTCATTCAACACAAGTAGTACTCGAGTATCTGAGGCTGGACCACAGTTAATATTACAGGCTGTCTATACTGTGGTAATTAACAAGAAATTGTTCTAACCTTTAACTCATGCTGACATTAGTACAGAGGGTTAGAAACTGGAAGCAAAAGTGAATTTACCAACAAAGCTGTTCGAAGAATTAGAAAGCATGGGAGTTCGAAAACAAAAAGCATTTTACTCTTTCCTTGTTTAAGCAAGGACGCTGTTCTCACTGCAGAGAGGGCAAACATCCTAGAGATGTGCATTAGTGTTCTGTTCTATACCACATCCGTTATTCGTTTGCTCTTGGGAATAAAACCAATTTGCAACATAGAAATACAATAAAGCTTCTATAAAAATTCAAAATAAATCTGAATCTAAAAAAAACAGGAAAAAAATTTAACTCTTTACGTAATCTAAAACACCCGCAAAAAAACTGATTGCAGAAGGGACCATGGGATTTGGCACATAGCAAGCTCTGCATGAAGACAGTTTCAATACATTGACAATACAAAGCAGGTAAGCTTTTACCAAAGTTTTAAATTTAAAAAGGTCAATAAGTTATTTGAAATAAGTGGGTTTGCTACACTACCAGAGAAGAGGATAACAGAAGATAATAGCCAATCTAATTTGGTTATTACTTAGGACAGAAAAGTTTTTCAATCAAATTACAATTTGCACAGAGAACAGAAGTTACTCACACAGAACAGCACTGCATGCACAGTATCTAAATTAAGCTCTGAAAAAGAAATCTTAAGTTGGACAGGGAGCTAAAGAGCACAGCAGAAGTGACCAATGAGATGACTCGACCTGCCTTTTTCAAAAAACAGTTTATATATTTTTATCTAAAAAGCACAAAATCACACAAATTTCAGTATTTCATCCTAACTAGGTCACTTCTTAGGTAGTGTAGGGTATGTGTTTTTAGTTTAGCTTTTATTGAGATAGAACTTGTGATTGTTCTATCTCTCCTCCCAGACTCTCAAAAACACTTGGGAACCAACCAGACAGATAGGTTTCATGAAAATGAGCAGCTATGTGGGGAACAAAAAGAGAAACTTAATGTAGTGTCCCAGTGAGCA